CGTTTTCAACCGGTGCCCTTTTTGACCTGTGCCCATTTCGACCGGTGCCCTTTTCGACCGGTGAACATTTTGAACGGTGCGCTTTTCGACCGGTGCGCTTTTCGACCAGTGCGCTTTTCGACCGGTGTGCTTATTGACTGGTGCCCTTCTCGATCGGTGCCCATTTCCACTGGTGCGCTCTTCGACCGGTGCGCTTTTCGACCGGTGGCCTTTATGACCGGTGCCATTTTTGACCGGTGCCGTTTTCGACCTGTGCCCTTTTCAACCGGTGCCCTTTTCGACCGGTGCCCTTTCGACCGGTGCCCTTTTCAACCGGTGCCCTTTTACATGGGTTGTTTGTGGGAGTATAAACGATTTGGTTGTGAGAGTTTAGACCGTATGGTGGTGAATGTTTAGACCAGGTGGTGGTGGGAGTTTCGTCCGGATGGTGGTGGGAATTTAGACTGGGTGGTGGTTGGATTTTTGATGGTGTGGTGGTGGGAGTTTAGACTGGGTGGTGGCAGGAGTATAAACGGGTGCTGGTTGGAGTCTAGACCAAGTGGTGGTGGGATTTTAGACTGGGTGGTGGTGGGAATTTAGACCGGTGGTAAAGGCGTTGAGACTGAGTCGTGCAGGGAGTTTTGACCGGGTGGTGTTGGTAGTTTAGACTGGGCAGTGTTGGTAGTTTAGACCGTGTGGTCGTGGGTGTTTACACGGGTTGGTTGTGGGAGTTAAGACTGTGTGGAGGTGGGAGTTTAGACCCGGTGGTGGTGGGAGTTTAGACCAGGTGGTGGTGGGAGTTTATTCCCGATGGTGGTGGGAATTTTGACCGGTAGGTGGTGGGAGTTTAGACCGGGTGATGGTGGGAGTTTAGACCGGGTGGTGGTGGTAGTTTTGACTGCGTAGTGGTGGGAGTTTAGACGAGTTGGTTTTGTGAGTTTTAACAATTTGGATTTGGGAGTTTAGACCGTATGGTGGTGGGAGTTTAGACCAGGTGGGATGGCGGTGGGTATTCAGACCGGATGGTGGTGGGATTTTAGACCGGATGGTGGTGGGAGTTTAGACCAGATGGTGGTGGGAGTTTAGACCGAATGGTGGTGAGAGTTTGGACCGTGTGGTGGTGGGAGTTTAGACCGGGTGGTGGTGGGAGTTTAGACCGGATGGTGGTGGGAGTGTAGAGTGGGTGGTGGGGGGAGTATTGATGGATGGTGGTGGGATTTTAGACCATGTGGTGGTGGGAATTTAGACCGGGTGGTGGAAGGATGTGAGACATATTCATGCTGGGAGTTTAGACCAGGTGGTGTTGGGAGTTTAGACCGGTTGGTGGTGGAAGTTTGGACCGGTTTGGCAGTTTAGACCGGGTGGTGGTGGGAGTTTAGAATGGGTGGTGGTGGGAGTATAGACGGGTGGTGGTTGGAGTCTAGACCGTGTGGTGGTGGGTTAGTAGAGCAGGTGGTGGTGGAAATTGAGACCGGCGGTGGAAGGAGTTGAGACTAAGGTGTGCTGGGAATTTAGACCGGGTGGTTGTGGGAGTTTTTTCCAGTTGGTGGTGGGAGTTTCGACCGGGTGGTGTTGGGAGATTAGACCGAGTGGTAGTGGGAGTTTAGTCCGTGTGGTCGTACGAGTTTAGACAGGTTGGTCGTGAGAGTTTAGACTGTATGGTTGTGGGTGTTGAGACTCGGTGGTGATGGGAGTTGAGAGCAAGTGGTGGTGGGAGTTTTTTCCGGATGGTGGTGGGAATTTAGACCGGGTGGTGGTGGGAGTTTAGACCGGATGGTGGTGGGAGTTTTGACCGGGTGGGGGTGGGAGTTTAGACCGGGTGGTGGTGGGAGTTTAGACCCGGTGGTGGTGCGAGTTTAGACCGGGTGGTGGTGGGAGTTTAGACCGGGTGGTGGTGGGAGTTTGGACCAGGTGGGGGTGGGAGTTTAGACCGAGTGGTGGTGGGTGTTTCAATCGGATGGTGTTGGGAGTGTGGACTGGGTTGTGGTGGGAGTTTAGACCGGGTGGTGGTGGGAGTTTAGACCCGGTGGTGGTGCGAGTTTAGACCGGGTGGTGGTGGGAGTTTAGACCGGGTGGTGGTGGGAGTTTGGACCAGGTGGGGGTGGGAGTTTAGACCGAGTGGTGGTGGGTGTTTCAATCGGATGGTGTTGGGAGTGTGGACTGGGTTGTGGTGGGAGTTTAGACCGGGTGGTGGTGGGAGTTTAGACCCGGTGGTGGTGCGAGTTTAGACCGGGTGGTGGTGGGAGTTTAGACCGGGTGGTGGTGGGAGTTTGGACCAGGTGGGGGTGGGAGTTTAGACCGAGTGGTGGTGGGTGTTTCAATCGGATGGTGTTGGGAGTGTGGACTGGGTTGTGGTGGGAGTATCGGCGAATGGTGGTGGGAGTTTAGACCATGTGGTGGTGGGATTTTAGACCGGGTGGTGGTGGGATTTTAGACCGGGTGGTGGTGGGAATTTAGACCGGGTGGTGGAAGGAGTTGAGACTGAGTCTTGCTAGGAGTTTAGACTAGGTGGTGTTGGGTGTTTAGACCGGTTGGTGGTGGGAGTTTAGACCGGTTTGGCCGTTTAGACCGGGTGGTTGTGGGAGTTTAGACTAGGTGGTGGTAGTAGTAAAGACGGGTGGTGCTTGATGTCTAGACTGTGTGGTGGTGGGATTTTAGACCGCGTGGTGGTGGAGGTTTAGACCGGTGGTGAAAGGATTTGACCGCGTGGTTGTGGGAGTTCTATCTAGTTGGTGGTGGGAGTTTCGACCGGCTGGTGTTGGGAGTTTAGACCGGGTGGTGATGGGAGTTTAGAGCAAGTGGGTAAACGCTTAGGATACCATAACTTCCCACACACCTGGGTTTTGCATCCGAGCACAGGCCAGCATGCTCTTGAGCCCATATACTAACCATGCATGCAAAAATCAAGATGTTTGAGCACGCTCAATAGCAAGATAACCAAGTTGAGGTCTCGTAGGAAAATGCTCAAGTACGAGAAAAAGGAACACATACAATACCATTACTTTTTGCACACTTAGGTTTTGGATCTGAGCACAAGCCACGATTATCTTGAGCCCATGCACTAACTGTTCACGCAAAACAAGGGCTTAGAAATTGCTATGTCTCTGAAAAACAAAATGAACAGTTGAGGTTTTGTTGGGCAATGCTCAAGTGTTTAGACATGGGACAATAGTTGACATACTATAACTTCCCAACCACATGGATTTTGGATCTGAGCACAAGCCATGATGCTCTTGAGGCCATACACTAGCTATGTATGCAAAGGGAAATAGTTTTAGTGAACAAGATCCTAAATGAAAAATCATGTTGTTGTTTGGTGGGGTACCACTCAAGAACTCAGACATGCGAAAACGCTTGAGATACCATAACTTCCCACACACCTGGGTTTTGCATCCGAGCACAGGCCAGCATGCTCTTGAGCCCATACACTAACCATGCGTGCAAAAATCAAGATGATTGAGCACGCTCAATAGCAAGATAACCAAGTTGAGGTCTCGTAGGAAAATGCTCAAGTACTGGAAAAAGGAACACATACAATACCATTACTTTTTGCACACTTAGGCTTTGGATCTGAGCACAAGCCACGATTATCTTGAGCCCATGCTCTAACTCTTCATGCAAAACAAGGGCTTAGAAATTGCTTTGTATCTGAAAAAAAATATGAAAAGTTGAGGTTTTGTTGGGCAATGCTCAAGTGTTTAGACATGGGACAATAGTTGACATACTATAACTTCCCAACCACTTGGATTTTGGATCTGAGCACAAGCCATGATGCTTTTGAGGCCATACACTAGCTATGAATGTAAAGGAAAAGAGTTTTAGTGAACAAGATCCTAAATGAAAAATCATGTTGTTGTTTGGTGGGGTACCACTCAAGAACTCAGACATGCGAAAACGCTTGAGATACCATAACTTCCCACACACCTGGGTTTTGCATCCGAGCATAGGCCAGCATGCTCTTGAGCCCATACACTAACCATGCATGCAAAAAGCAAGATGTTTGAGCACGCTCAATAGCAAGATAACCAAGTTGAGGTCTCGTAGGAAACTGCTCAAGTACTGGGAAAAGGAACACATACAATACGATTACTTTTTGCACACTTAGGCTTTGGATCTGAGCACAAGCCATGATGATCTTGAGCCCATGCACTAACTGTTCATGCAAAACAAGGGCTTAGAAATTGCTTTGTATCTGAAAAACAAAATGAGAAGTTGAGGTTTTGTTGGGCAATGCTCAAGTGTTTAGTTGTGGGACAACAGTTGACATACTATAACTTCCCAACCACTTGGATAATGTATCTGAGCACAAGCCATGATGCTCTTGAGGCCATACACTAGCTATGTATGCAAAGGGAATGAGTTTTAGTGAACAAGATCCTAAATGAAAAAACAGGTTGCTGTTTGGTGGGGTACCACTCAAGAACTTGGACATGCGAAAACGCTCGAGATACCATAACTTCCCAAACACATGGGTTTTGCATCCGAGCACAGGCCAGCATGCTCTTGAGCCCATACACTAACCACGCATGCAAAATGCAAGATGTTTGAGCACGCTCAATAGCAAGATAACCAAGTTGAGGTCTCGTAGGAAAATGCTAAAGTACTGGAAAAAGGAACACATACAATACCATTACATTTTGCACACTTAGGTTTTGGATCTGAGCACAAGCCACGACTGTCTTGAGCCCATGCACTAACTGTTCATGCAAAACAAGGGCTTAGAAAATGTTTTGTATCTGAAAAACAAAATGAAAAGTTGAGGTTTTGTTGGGCAATGCTCAAGTGTTTAGTCATGGGACAATAGTTGACATACCATAACTTCCCAACCACTTGGATTTTGGATCTGAGCACAAGCCATGATACTCTTGAGGCCATACACATGCTCTTGATGCTCTTTCACGCACTGTCAAACCATATGTGCAAGTTGAAAACATGGGATGGGAGGCAGACAGAATGTGATAGCATATGATGACATCACACAAGAATCTCCTTCTCTGGCTGCCAACCATCATCCACCATATCACATCGCAAGCATGCATACTCAATGCACACTCATCTCAGCAAGCTTCATGCCCTTCCAATGATTCTCCTCCGCCAGACGCTTAGTGAAAATATCTGCTGCCTGCTGATGGGTCTTCCCTATCTCCAGCCGCACCTCCTTATCAAGGAGTCTCCTTACCCAATGCCACTTAGGCCTTATGTGTTTTGTCAGCCCATGCAGACAAGCATTCTTGGCCAGCTTCACTGCAGACTCATTGTCACAGAAGACAACTGTCGGCTCCTCCTGACCAACTCCCAACTCCTCCAACAAGCGCCTCAGCCACACCACTTCCTTGGCCCCATGGTGTAAGGCCATGTACTCAGTCTCACATGAGAACAATCCCACCTCATTCTGCTTCTTGCTGCGCCAGCTCACAGCACCACCTCCCAGCAAGCACACATAACCCCCAATGCTGGTGCCATCCGCTTTCACTGAGTTGAAGCTAGCGTCAGTACCTTAGGCTGAGGAATTGCAGCCCAATAGCACATTGCAATTTCATCTTCCTCAATCTGCTCAACCACACTCCCAGCCTGCACCACATTCGGCTTGCCTCTTCCCCCATAGGTCAGCCTCACCGGAGGGCGCACATCCCTCCTAGATCGCTCAGGCGGGTGTGGAACTCGAGGTGGAGACTCATGCTGTTGCTGCTGCTGCTCCACTTCAGCTGCTCCCCCTTCCTCAGTCACCCCAGACATCTCCTCCTCAGACACTGCAACCTCCACCTGTCTTGAAGGCCTGCCTCCACAATGAGCGGTGTAGATGGAAGCTTCTGTTGCTGCTGCTTCCATTCCTTGTAGTACAGGGACTCCAGAAACTTCACATCCCTTGACACTGTCAACTTCTGGGTGGTCAAGTCCCATAGCAGCCACCCCTTGTGATCCTTTGCAATCCCCAAGTGCACACCCCATCTTCCAGAAGCCTCCAACTTCCCCCTTTTCTCCTTAGGCACATGAAACACCACATGGCACCCAAATGCCCTCAGCATGTTCACAGCTGGAGCACTCCCATACCACTTGGTATATGGGATCCACTCCTTATCCCCAACTGTAGCCACCACCCTGTTCTTCACAAGGGCGACCTGCCTCAGTGCAGACACCCAAAACGGATCAGGCAGCCCTGCACGCCCAAGGAGAGTGCGTGCCCCCTCCTACAGGGTCCTGTTGAACCTCTCAGCCACGCCATTCTGCTGCGGGTTGTAGGGCACTGTCAATTGATGTTGGATCCCCTTCCTCTTCAACTCCCCCTCAAAATCAGCTCCAATGAACTCCCCACCATTATCACTGCGGATCACCTTCACCTTGTGTCCGCATTCCCTCTGAGCTCTAGGCATCCACTCCTTAAGGACAGCCGCTGCCACCGAGTGTGGTCATCCACAATTGTCAAGAAATAGCGGCTGCCTGAGAGGGAAGGGGCTCTTGTGGGCCCCACCACATCCATGTGCACAAGTGCAAGTGGGGTCTTGGCTGGTCCTGTAGTGCTGTTGAAGGGGAACTTGGAGAACTTGGTCTCCAAGCATGTAGGGCAGCTCCCAATCTCCTTCACTCCTCCCTTGACCTCCAAGCCCTTCAGGCTCCCGTCCTTCACCAATTTCTGCAGCATAGGGAAGTTCACATTACACAGCCTCTCATGCCATGTCTCCCAATCGGCCTCTCCACTCCTTGATGAAGCCTTAGCCCATGCCGCACTCGCATCCACACCAGCAAGCACCTCACCATGTGTCTGCTGCTGCTGCACTTTCTTAACTGCTTCCAGGACCCCATCAGTTGGTGCAGTTGCATCTCCTCCTGCTGTTGCCTTTGCCGCTGTTGCCGTTGCTGCTGTTGGATTTTGCCCATTCCAAAGGATGATGGGCAGCTGCCACAGGTCCTTGATGCAGCTGGTCTCCTCTTTCAGACTCCACAGCACCTTCTTCCCAAGCTTAGCACGGCAGCTGGTTGGTCCAAAGGTCACTTCGGCCTTGCTCTTCTGCAGTCGCCGCACAGAGAGAAGGTTAGCACACAAACCTTCAACCAGCAGAACATTCCCAAGCCCCACAAGCTCCCCATTAGCTCCCTTAACCTTGGCATTCCCAACACCAATCACAGGGAGCAAAACACCTGACGCTGCTGCCACATACTTAATCTTTCCAGGGGGTTTTACCTCATCAAGCATATCTGCCCGTGGGGTCATGTGACTGGTGCAACCTGAATCAATCACCCAGTGCGTGAGAGGGTGCATCACAACCTTTCCTACAGATCCCACATCACCCTCATGCCCATGCACATCCTCAACCATGAGAAACATCCCAGGATAGGTATTACCTTGTGCACCTTCACCTTGTGCACCTGAGCCTTGCACAGCGCCACCTTGTGCGCGTTCACCATTTGGCGGCTACATGCCTGGAGGTGCCCATCCCTCCGGCCTGCTGAAGCACTTGAACCAAGGATGTCCGACCTTCTTGCAGTACCTGCAGGTGCCCTCCATTCTGGTACTCCCCCTACCACCAGAACTCCCATGCCCATGCACATCCTCATACCCCTCAGCAGTCTTAGTGGCAGCACCGCCTCCCACATGGCGTCTGCGGAAGTCCTCCTGCAAAATCTGCTGCCTTAGCCACTCAGGTGTCCATTGATCTTGCTGAGAGTTGAGGGTGGGGATGAGGTTGTCCCAAGAGTTGTCCAACACCGAGATGATCTTGGTGCACTGCTGCAGCTGAGATACACTGCTGCCCGCTGCTGCCATCCTTGCATAGGTGTCCTTGATCTTGTCAAGGACCGGCTTCACATCGTCCCCTGGTCGCATGGAGATGGCAGCAAGTTCCTTCTCGAGCACGATCACCATCGGGAGAGTGTTGTAGTTTCCATGCCCTTGGACCCGAATCATCCGCTTCCACAAGATCCTTGATGTGCTCGAACATCTCCTTGTTGACCGATTGAAGGATGAGGTCAAAAAGCACCGCGTTTTTCTCAATCCACCGCTCACGTGCTTCGCCTTCTTCCGGCATCTTCTCCTCCCCAACAGCAATCTTCAGTAGCTTGTAGCGTTTGAAGGCACTCCTCATCCGCCCGCTCCATTCCTCATAGTTGGAGCCATCCAAAGCTTCAACTTTTGATGGCGGCTGCTCACTTGTCTTCTCAGGTACAGCTCCTCTTCCATTAGCATCTCCTCCTCTCTCATTCATCTTCTCCTTGAGAAATGACGAATTTCAGCTCCCCTTTGCTGTCCACACTCAGCTCCCTCGATATTTTCACAAGTGTCGGCGTCCACGAAATTTCGGCAGAGTTTCCCCTTAGCGGAAGACACATCCAACCTTTAGAACACCACTTAGGCACACCCACAGGCCATGGTAGGTCTAGAAAAGTCTTCAAACTTCTGTAGACTCCTCTTAATGTCCTTAATATCGCTCTGATACCACTTGTTAGGATTAAGGACGGAATCTAGGTGAACTTAGGAGCTAGAATTACTCAAAATATAAATCCGAAATTCTGAACAGAAAAGTCGTCTTCACAAGAAACGATGTCGACAAAAAACTAGCCGTTTGAATGTCACGAAAATCGGATATGTTGTAGCTTGTAATCTTAGCTACCGTTCGCAATTTGAATCATGTCGATTGATGGAGTATTCGGGACGCTATGTCTTTCGACGCAGTGGCGGGTAAGCTGTAGGAGGAGAACTTAACTCAATCTCAAAAAGTTCAATCAAAGTTCAAGAATCTCACAAGGAATTGGAGGAGCAAGAGAAAGGTTGGGATGGAAGAGAGGGATGAGAGAAGAGGTCCCAAGAGAGTCCCCAACCAAGGAAACCCCATAAGCACAAAGATTCCCTCCATATAGGAACCCCAACTTTGACATTTGTCCCTTCCCAACCAATCCAACCAAGTTGGCCACCCTTGCCAACCTAGCTTGGTTGTTCCCAACCAATTTTGCAGCTGCTACAGTAGAGTGACTAATTTTCCCAACTCCCAATAGTCACAACTCCATATAGAGTCACCCCACAACTTAACTTTGTAACCGCCGCAATTGTAACACAAGCTCATGAACTTTGAATCTTCATAGCTTTCGCATTCTTGCTCCGATTGAAGCGATTCTTGTTGCGTCCGAAAGATCTTCTCAAGATCTATCATCGCAAAATACCTGCTCATTCAAAAAAAACACAAAACACATTCCCAAACTCCAGAACACACCACACACAAATTCTTTCATGCACTGTCAAATCATACGTGCAAGTTGAAAACATGGGATGGGAGGCAGACAGAATGTGATAGCATATGATGACATCACACAGCAAAGCGAACACGAAGCTAAGCGAAGCTAATCGAAGCGAAGCTAAGCGAAGCGAACACGAAGCTAAGCGAAACTAAAAGAAGCGAAGAGAAGCGAAGCGAAGCTAAGCAAAGCGAAGCGAAGATATGCGAAGCGAAGCGAAGCTACGCGAAGCAATGCAAAGCTAAGCAAAGATAAGCGAAGCGAATCTAAGCAAAGCTATGCGAAGCTAAGCGAAGCGAAGCTAAGCGAAGCAAAGCTATGAGAAGCAAAGCGAAGCAAAGCGAAGCTAAGCAAAGCTAAGTGAAGAGAAGCGAAGAGAAGCAAAACAAAGCTATGCGAAGTGAAGCGAAGCTAAGCGAAGCTATTCGAAGCGAAGCGAAGAGAAGCGAAGCGAAGCAATGTGAAGCGAAGCGAAGCAAAGCAAAGCTAAGCGAAGCTAAGAGAAGCTTAGCGAAGCGAAGCGAAGCTAAGCGAAGCGAAGCAACGCTAAGCGAAGCTAAGCGAAGCGAAGCTAAGCGAAACGAAGCAAAGCTAAGCGAAGCGAAGCTAAACGAAGCGAAGCGAAGCGAAGAGAAGCATAGAAAAGCGAAGCAAAAAGAAGCGAAGCTAAAAGAAGCAATGCGAAGCTAAGCGCAGGTATGCGAAGCGAAGCGAAGCTAAGGGAAGCGAACCGAATCTAAGGGAAGCGAAGCGAAGCTAAGCAAAGCGAAGTGAAGCTCGGCGAAGCTAAGCAAAGCAAAGCGAAGCTAAGCGAAGCGAAGCTAAGCGAATCTAAGCGAAGCTAAGCGAAGCGAAGCTAAGCGAAGCTAAGCGAAGCTAAGCGAAGCGAAGCGAAGCTAAGCGAAGCTAAGCGAAGCGAAGCAAAGCTAAGCAAAGCTAAGCGAAGCTAAGCGAAGCGAAGCGAAGCAAAGTGAAACGAAGCAATGCTTAGCAAAGCGAAGTGAAGCAAAGCTAAGCAAAGCTAGGCGAAGCTAAGCAAAACGAAGCGAAGCTAAGAGAAGAGAAGCGAAGATAAGCGAATGAAAGCGAAGCTAAGCGAAGCGAAGCGAAGCTAAGCGAAGCGAGGCTAAGCGAAGCGAACAGGAAGCTAAGCAAAGCGAAGCGAAGCTAATCGAAGCGAAACTAAGCGAAGCAAACATGAAGCTAAGCGAAGTGAAGCTAAGCGAAGCGAAGTGAAGAGAAGCTAAGCGAAGCGAACACGAAGCTAAGCAAAGCTAATCGAAGCGAAGCGAAGCGAAGTTAAGCGAAGCTAAAAGAAGCGAAGAGAAGCGAAGCGAAGCAAAGCGAAGGTAAGCGAAGCTAAGAGAAGCGAAGCGAAGCTAAGCGAAGCGAGGCGAAGCTAAGCGAAGCTAAGGGAATCGAAACTAAGCTAAGCGAAGTTATGCGAAGCGAAGCAAAGCTGAGGGAAGTGAACCAAACCTATGGGAAGTGAAGCGAAGCAAAGCTAAGCGAAGTTTAGCAAAGCAAAGCAAAGCGAAGCGAAGCTAGGAGAAGCTAAGCAAAGCTAAGCAAAGCTAAGCGAATCAAAGCTAAGCGAAGCAAAACAAAGATAAGCAAAGCTAAGCAAAGCGAAGCACAGAGAAGGGGAGAGAGGCAAAGCGAAGCTTAGCGAAGCCAAGCTAAGCGAAGCTAAGCGAAGCGAAGCTAAGCGAAGCGAAGCTAAGCGAAGCGAAGAGAAGCGAAGGGAAGCTAAGCGAAGCGAAGCGAAGAGAAGCATAGAGAGCGAAGCGAAAAGAAGCGAAGCTAAGAGAAACAAAGCGAACCTAAATGCAGGTATGCGAAGCGAAGCGAAGCTAAGCGAAGCTAAGCGAAGCTAAGGGAAGCGAACCGAAGCTAAGGGAAGCGAACCGAAGCTAAGGGAAGCGAAGCGAAGCTAAGCGAAGCTAGGCGAAGCTAAGCGAAGCGAAGTGAAAGAAGCAAAGCTTAGCTAAGCTTAGCTAAGCTTAGCGAAGCGAAGTGAAGCTAAGGGAAGCGAACTGAAGCTAAGGGAAGCGAAGCGAAGCTAAGCTAAGCGCAGCTATGCGAAGCGAAGCAAGGCTAAGCGAAGCTAAGAGAAGCGAACGAAGCTAAGGAAAGCGAAGCTAAGCGAAGCGAAGCGAAGCAAAGCGAATCTAACCGAAGCTAAGCGAAGCTAAGCAAAGAGAAGAGAAGCGAAGCTAAGCGAAGCAAAGCAAAGTTAAGGAAGCTAAGCGAAGCGAGGCAAAGCGAAGCGAAGGAAGCTAAGCAATCTAAGCGAAGCTAAGCGAAGCGAAGCGAAGAGAAGCAAAGAGAAGCGTAGCGAAGAGAAGCGAAGCTAAGAGAAGCAAACGAAGCTAAGCAAGCTATGCGAAGCGAAGCGAAGCTAAGGGAAGCAAACCAAAGCTAAGGAAGCGAAGCTAAGCGAAGCAAAGCGAAGCAAAGCGAAGCTAAGCAAAGCGAAGCGAAGCAAAGCAAGCAAAGCAAATGAAGCTAAGCGAAGCGAAGCGAAGCTAAGCGAAGCGAAGCGAAGCTAAGCAAAGCGAAGCAAAGCAAAGATAAGCGAAGCTAAGCGAAGCGAAGCGAAGCGAAGCGAAGCTAAGCTAAGCGAAGCGAAGCGAAGCGAAGCTACGCGAAACGAAGCAAAGCTAAGCGAAGCGAAGCTAAACGAAGCGAAGCGAAGCGAAGAGAAGCATAGAAAAGCGAAGCAAAAAGAAGCGAAGCTAAAAGAAGCAATGCGAAGCTAAGCGCAGGTATGCAAAGCGAAGCGAAGCTAAGGGAAGCGAACCAAAGCTAAGGGAAGCGAAGCGAAGCTAAGGAAAGCGAAGTGAAGCTCGGCGAAGCTAAGCAAAGCAAAGCGAAGCTAAGCGAAGCTAAGCGAAGCGAAGCTAAGAGAATCTAAGCGAAGCTAAGCGAAGCGAAGCGAAGCAAAGTGAAACGAAGCAATGCTTAGCAAAGCGAAGTGAAGCAAAGCTAAGCAAAGCTAGGCGAAGCTAAGCAAAGCGAAGCGAAGCTAAGAGAAGAGAAGCGAAGATAAGCGAATGAAAGCGAAGCTAAGCGAAGCGAAGCGAAGCTAAGCGAAGCGAGGCTAAGCGAAGCGAACAGGAAGCTAAGCAAAGCGAAGCGAAGCTAATCGAAGCGAAACTAAGCGAAGCAAACATGAAGCTAAGCGAAGCGAAGTGAAGCTAAGCGAAGCGAAGTGAAGAGAAGCTAAGCGAAGCGAACACGAAGCTAAGCAAAGCTAATCGAAGCGAAGTTAAGCGAAGCTAAAAGAAGCGAAGAGAAGCGAAGCGAAGCAAAGCGAAGGTAAGCGAAGCTAAGAGAAGCGAAGCGAAGCTAAGCGAAGCGAGGCGAAGCTAAGCGAAGCTAAGGGAATCGAAACGAAGCTAAGCGAAGTTATGCGAAGCGAAGCGAAGCTAAGGGAAGTGAACCAAACCTAAGGGAAGTGAAGCGAAGCAAAGCTAAGCGAAGTTTAGCAAAGCAAAGCAAAGCGAAGCGAAGCTAGGAGAAGCTAAGCAAAGCTAAGCAAAGCTAAGCGAATCAAAGCTAAGCGAAGCAAAGCAAAGATAAGCAAAGCTAAGCAAAGCGAAGCACAGAGAAGGGGAGAGAGGCAAAGCGAAGCTTAGCGAAGCCAAGCTAAGCGAAGCTAAGAGAAGCGAAGCTAAGCGAAGCGAAGCAAAGCGAAGCTAAGCGAAGCGAAGAGAAGCGAAGGGAAGCTAAGCGAAGCGAAGCGAAGAGAAGCATAGAGAGCGAAGCGAAAAGAAGCGAAGCTAAGAGAAACAAAGCGAAGCTAAATGCAGGTATGCAAAGCGAAGCGAAGCTAAGCGAAGCGAAGCGAAGCTAAGGGAAGCGAACCGAAGCTAAGGGAAGCGAACCGAAGCTAAGGGAAGCGAAGCGAAGCTAAGCGAAGCTAGGCGAAGCTAAGCGAAGCGAAGTGAAAGAAGCAAAGCTTAGCTAAGCTTAGCTAAGCTTAGCGAAGCGAAGTGAAGCTAAGGGAAGCGAACTGAAGCTAAGGGAAGCGAAGCGAAGCTAAGCTAAGCGCAGCTATGCGAAGCGAAGCAAGGCTAAGCGAAGCTAAGAGAAGCGAACGGAAGCTAAGGAAAGCGAAGCTAAGCGAAGCGAAGCGAAGC